GGGAGCTCAGCGTCAGGGCACAGGGCTTAAGGTAATGCTGATCATAGCTAGAAAAAACATGAGTCTGTGAGCTTCACAGATGTGTAATCAATAGCAGGGTTACTTGCAACAAGGGGTTTTACACATCTGTCAGCTAAATCAGAATCCTAAAGGGCAAATGCTGCCTTAAAGAACATTAGCCAGATTTGTGATGCTGACTCAAGGAGTTAGGGCAATAAACCAATACATGCATTACAAGAAGCCACCAGTAAGACAATTTTTCATTGGTGACATTCATAATCTTGTTTTAGTCTGGTTTTCTGTTTGATATTCATGGAAAAATGCTGGATTGGTTGGACTGTTATCAGAGATCATTCATTTTTATTTTACTCCTTTTATCTTTGTTCCCCGTGGTTTGTAACATTTTGGTCTTTGTCTCCATCATTTCTGTTTTCTTCTTGTTCTTTTCTGATCTTGCCTTTCTTTTTTCATTTTATTTTAACTATTTTTTAAAGGCAACATATGCTGATAACACTATGATTTAGGGGTACAGAGTCATACCTCTTCAGTGGAAGTTACCATGCCACTTCCACTGTTATTTTCTTTTTTACAGTGTGTAAATTTTACCACTAGATTTATATCATGCCTTTGTATATAATTTGGAAATCAACTTTTTATATTAATTGGAACTAAAAAATACTCTACTCTATTTCCTTAATTTTAGGTTTTGTTTTTCATGGTCATACATTTTTTTCAGCAAACCATATTTAAGTTGCGCTACTTTTTGAAGTTGAATAAAATTATAGTTTATTAAACTATCAAAGCAGATAGATCATTGCTTTTATTAAAGAAACATTAATATTTACAATACTGAACAGGTTCCAAGATTACATTTTCTCAATGAAAATATTTAGTCTCTACCTAGTTGGCTCCTTCTACTCATTATTTTCATCACTCCTTTTTCTTTGTTTACCACTATTTCGTTGTCAGAATCTAAGTTTGTTTTTGTGTCCTTAAATTTCACAAACGATTGAAATTATCTGGCCTTGTCTTTCTCTTCTGACAGATTTCACTTGGCATAATTCCCTCAATACACATGCATGTTGTCACAGGTTACAAGATTTCATCTTTTGATGGCTGAGCACTCTTCCATTTGTGTGTGTGTGTGTATGCATACACAACACATCTTGATTAATTTTTCTGTTGTTGGAGAATTGGGTTGTTTCACATCTTGGCTTTTGTGACTAGTGTTGCAGTGAACATTGGAGTTTAGCAATTTTTTGAGTTAATGCTTTCATATTGCAGGGGGGTACCCAAACTATATGGTTGTTCTGTTTTTAATTTTTTGAGATACCTCCATGTAGATTTCTATAGTGACTGCACAAGTTGCATTCTCATCAGCAATGGAGAAGGGTTTCTTTTTCTCCACATACTTACCAACACTGATCATTTTTTGACTCCTGATAACCATTTTAATTGGAATAGGTAAAATCTCACTGTAGTTCTGATTTACATTTCCTTAATAACAGTCACTGCAGAACATCTTTTTCATGTGTCCATTGTCTATTTTGTATAATTTCTTCAGCAAATGTCTCTTTAGATACTTCACCCATGAATTTTCTTGTTTTTTAGTTATTTATATAAAGTGTTAACTCCTTGTCAGACTTCTTCTTGCATTCAGTAGACTGTCTTTTTGATTTAAGGATTTTTTTTTGCCATGTAGAAGCTTTATATTTTAACATAGTCCTATTGTTTATACTTTTTTTTTTTTTTTGCATCTCTTGCCTTAGAGGCAATTCCACAAATACATCAAGAAGACCTATGTCAAAAGTTTTTACCTATGTTTTCTTCTATATATTCTATGATTTTGGGTTTTATATTTAAGTCTTAATCCACTTTGAGTTGATTTTAATGTATGGTGTGAGATAGTGGTCTACATTCATTCTTTTACATGTGGCTGTCCAATTTCTCATACCATTAATTGTAGACACATTCCTTTCTTCATTTTATGCTTGTCTCCTTTAGAAGAACTGATTGCCATATCTGTGTGTATTTAGTTCTCAGTTCTCATCTATTGCATTCATCTGTTTGCTTGTTTTTATTCCAATACCATCCTGTTTCATTACTGTAGATTTATATAGTTGGAGTCAGTCAGCATAATATCTTCTTTATTTTTCCTCCTCAGGGTCTTTTATGGGTCAACACAAATTTTAGAATATTTTTGTTCTATTTCTGGGTAGTTTTTTTTTTTTTTTCTAATCTGTTCTACCACTCTATGTCTTCTGACTGGTATGATTTAAGTCATACCTCATATGCTTGTGCTCACTGCAATTTTGCTAGTTACTTTCTGGTTGTATAAGGAATAATGTAAAGAGAGATAATGGATAGTAGAGAAAGCGTCTCACACAAAGGGACATTTTGCTGAGATTTAAAGGAAGGGAAGAGGCTATCCAGGCCAATGACAAGCAGGAATCCTTCAGAGAGAAGGAACAGCATGAAAAAAAAAAACATTCTTAGGAATGGTTAAAGCTTGATGTATGATAAACTGTTCAAAGGCCTTTATCGTGTCCACATTGTAGGAGACAGAGCTTAACATTGGGAAATTGGAAACCTAACTGGCATTTCTCCTTTTCTTTTCTTTTCTTTTCTTTTCTTTTCTTTTCTTTTCTTTTCTTTTCTTTTCTTTTCTTTTCTTTTCTTTTCTTTT